AAACAAACTTTACATTTTTAGAAAGAAGAGATTCTGCTCAATCGAATGACGTATAAACATAAATATGTTTCCGGGCAAACCTGAGAAGACGGTTGGCTTGAATGTATCAAACTTTATGAACAGATTCATCCTTTCTAATATTTATTCACCTATCAACGCTACTGCTCCACTCCCAGTGGTAGTCATTCATTGCAGTATTCTCGACTTAAAGCATTATTTTCCGGTCACAGATTTGGTTCAAATTGGTTTGGCCGGTTCAAAAAAAAAACGGAGAGACGATTCTCTGAATAGGGGAACATTTTGAGCATCCTGTCGAAAGTGCAACGAAAGCAGCAATAATGAATGCGAATTTTGGTTATACTAGTGTTACTAGCAATAACACATTCAAATATTATACTATTCGATGCCCTATCTGCAGGTTTTATTTGCTAAATGTTATCGTTCTTTCCGAAAACGTTCACAGCTCACCAAATTTAGAACTTTCGTCACTTCGTAATTCTTCTCAGCCATCACACTGGAATATTCCTGATTTCATTGAATAATTTATCATCCTAAATGGCACAGTCGAGTGCTCACGATTCCATCAAAAATAAAATTGATGTGGATATTTTCAGGTGTGTGGAACAATCCGGATGATGGAATTTGGTGGTTACTCATCGAAATTTTTGCTAGCAAATGATTACTCATGATCATTTTTCGGGAGAATCCAAAATGTAANAGTGATCTCTTAAGTCTAGTACTGATAATAACAGTGAAGTTGATCTAGTAAGACTGAATTAGTTAGTTGAATGATATAGGAAATTGTAATCCGAACTTTTTAGGTGTTCCAGTTTCGGATGAGCCATTCACAGTCATATTTGAAAGATGTTGATGCAGGTCGAAGACAGTTGTCATTAAGCAACTTTGATTGGGAGACTCACGAGTACATGGGCGAAACGTGAGCATGAGAAGTGAGTGAACAAGCGTAAATGCAATTTTGACGCGGCAGTGAGCGTACAACTCTGGGTAGTTTCATGAGCAGTCAACAAGAGCGACTCAAAAATTTCTGCTTCCATCGTGAGCAAAAAGTGAGTAGTGCCCTTTTTAAAACTGCTCTATCACTGGTAATGATCAATTAACGTTCTTGAATTGCAACTGCCGCTATTATCTCATGCAATTCTTTGGTGTTGATTATGTTATGAACGGTGCCATATTCATGCAACGGTTGGTTGCAGGTGTTCATAAAAAGGCGATGAGAAATGCATGAAACAGTAGAGAGCAAAAACAAAATGCTAAATGCAATCTTATCAATGAGCTGGATTCTGTTTGCTATCAATAGAAAAAACCACAACAAGCACTGTCTTGATATGAATTGTTCAGTTAATGCCTTTTGCATGATATTGATTTTTACAAACCAATCAATTCCCCAGTCTGTTTCAAAATTTTAATTGAATGAAAACTTCTCGTTAATTTCATCGTGAATTGGTTCAGTGTCTATTCCTAACCACAGTCAAATTTGTTTTCTGTCTGATGAACTTACATCTGAACCTACGAGCTGTCTTTGCGTCACGTTTTATTCTATTTTGGTGTTTGCCAAGACAGTGAAATTATGTCGTTTTATTTTGCTGATGTTTTCATTGCATCTAAGGAAATTTTCAGACGACTGTATTATTGTTGAAAGAATGGTGTCCAGCTAGGTTGTTTTCAAATGAGGCAAAAGATGACCTACTAGCTGTTTACGAGAAATTGCAATTTATCTTTTCATTTCCCACTATCAATGTAAATGAACCACAAACGAACACGTCTCATTCAGCTTGACTACGAATCAGTTCTTTTGCCTCTGTGTCGATTCCTAAAGCATTGAAAATCTTTCGAATTTTATTGCAACATATTTTTTGGTGTTATTCGTTGTGTAAAATTACTCGTTTTGCTCAGTGCAGGATATTATAAAAATGAGAATCTTATACTGTCGAATTTCTTGCTCTTAGATTTATTGAATAATTGCTCGCAATATTCTCCGTTGAACCATTTCGAATGTTCAATTTGACGTTACTTTCAGTTGAAATAGCGAACGAATTTGGTGTTTGATTAAAATGACTTATTGGCGATTGGCTGGAATCACATATGTACGCTTCTCTCAACTTGCAGCTCGAATTGTTCGAAAATGTGCCAAAGTAAGAAAATGAATTAAGAAAATTATTTGTCGGTTCTTATTACGAAAACAGATAATATGCGTTTCGTGTTTAATCGTTCATTTAATGTGGTTGAAATGATATTTCCAGCCTTCTTATCTTCACCAAGAAGAATTTGTTTCTCATAAGCGAATTCAGGGTGAAACGAAGGCGATAATGGCGCATCGTGCTCATCCACCAACAATAAAAATAACGGAATGGAAAGATGGAAAACCACAGAAAGAAGATTATTGATCAGTTTCTGTTATGTCTGATAATTTCTTCGAATGATTCTGGAACGATTTCATCAGCTGAACGACGATTAACAACAAAATAACATTTCTTTTACAGAATGCCGATTTAGAATAAATAAATTACGGTCGAATTGATATATTTTGCAACAAACTCACAAAATGATACATTCTTCGGAAAAGCATTGATTATATCCGAAACTGTTTGTGACACTTCGCATCGAATAAAACAATCCAATAGGTTGTTTTGTTTTTGCAAGCCTTCTTTACTGAACAAGGACAGTCCAAAACAGCGTATAACCAGAGACGTCCTCAAAGCTCAGCTTTTATGTTTCAATAGATTTTCTTGAGTGAAATCCACTCGAATCAAATGTTCATTCCTTTTGCGAATTAACTTTCAAAATCACAAAAAGTTATTGAAATATTACTAATCAGTGATTCATTACTCTTCAAAAATTTCTATTCATTATTGTTTGTCGGCAAGGCATTACCCCATCGATTTTGAATTCACTAACAATGAGTAAATAAGCAAAAAGCAATATTTCGACTTTTTCGCTTTTTGTTAGATAGTGTTCGGGGTCGTCGGTGATTCTGAGGTTTGTATTTTTTTTTGTTATTTCTCTGGTATTACCACTGAAAAAGATGTTCACGCTACTCTTCATGTAATTTATAAACTTTTGTCAGTGAATTGTGTATGATCATGATAATTTAGATGTGATGATATAAAACTGTTGCTTTTCCATCCCGAACGTGCAAAACTACATCCTTGATCGATTTATAGTTCAACATATTCATTCGGCCAGAGCGTGTGTAGTCAGTGTTCAGTTGGTTGGGCCAATGCTAGTCGTCAAAGGAATCATTATCGTTATTCATGCATTCCATGATGCCTGAACTGCATTCTCCGATCTAGCACATAAACCAAATTTGTGAGTTATAAAGTGGTTGAATACTTTGTGATGATTCCTGCTGCAACCGCAACCTCTCGAATGAAACATGTCGAGCGGAATGTACATAATTGTATATGAACTCCCATACGATCATTCATATCATAATTTTGTCAAAGTAGAATCATACTGAACAAAAACGGTGTTATTCTTGATTAATGTAACTGAACTTATCCACGTTATAACGACATTCACGATCTGCCGCAATTTGAGTCGTTTTCTTCAATGTTATTCGAAGTGGATAAATCATATTGACATGGTTGAAATATTGGAAATCACGGTTGAAATATTGGAAATTACGATTGAAATATTGAAGACGAACTCTGCTCAATGTAGTTCTATTTTAAACTAGTTTTGAGCACTGCTTCAATAGTATTATCATCATTTGTTCAATATCGAGAGTGAATCCTTACGACGTTTGAGTACGCGAAACTCACTCTGAACATTCATCAGCGAAAAAAAANAAAAAAAAGCAACTAAATTGCAATGTCATGAACCACAAATTCTGTTTTGATTCGTTTTCGATGGACAATTTACACAGAAACACACACTGAATGATCTCGATGCCTAAAGTCCCCATACATATTTTGGTTACTAACAAACCAAGTGATAGTGAAAATGCATTGGTTCTTTCTTATGAACCCATTCCCTATTGTCGTGCTGGGGTTCTGTCATTTATTTTGGGCTTCTCATACATACCAAGGACACCGGAGCCGAAGTTCAGTCCAAACGGTTTGGAGTTCAGAAGAAATGGTGAGGAAATTATTCGTACTGTTACGTGTCTGGAATATTTTCGGTTCATTTCAAGAAGTCGTTTCGATAACGAACAGAAGAGGAAGAGATAGTCTAGTTATTACCAGAACCATGTGGGAGAAATAGGTTCATACATTGTTCGACCCTAGCTTTGATGAAGAAATAATGTTATCCTCGATTATAGGTTTATTCTACCCTCTCAGCTTTGATGACGAAATGATTTTATTCTAGATGCAAAGAGGTTTTTGCTTCTAAGTACTCTCTATGAACACAAAGGCCTTTGTGGTTAAGATGATGAGAGACCATAATGAATTACAGATTGTAATGTAACAAATGGCATGCAGACTACTCTGACAAGCTAGCAATCTAATAGACGTGTTTAAAGAAGTTTGTTCAAAGTCAGTCAACGTTCCCTACACTAGTGATGGGATCCAGCCGACAGTCAGTAGGAAAAATCCGACAGTTTCGGTCGGAATTCGGAATTCTGACTGTCGGAACGGCGAAATGCCAATTCGGCCGGAATTCCGACTGCCGGAACGGCAAAATGCCAATTTAATCGCATTCCGACCGAACAGTTTAAGAAGTCGGTCGGAATTCCGACTGCCGGAATGACGAAATTTCGTTATTTCGCTCAGACCCCATCACTACCTTACACGATGTAATATGGAATGTTTGATTTATTTGTTGCGATTATTTGCCTGAAATTTTTATGTGACTGTAACACGTACAAAATTACATAGTGATTTTGTGATAATACGAAAGTTACATAGTGATTTTGTGTTATAACAGATCTCAGTGATATCACATCCATTCCACCGATTGTTATATTGCGTGTGCAAGAGCATTTAATATGAGCAAGAGAAGAACGGGATAGTTAGACACGGCTACTTTTGAAGGTTTTTTTGTCGCTTCTGTAGTCCCCGGTTCCTCACTTTTCGGTTCTGTGGTCTCTTGTCCAGAAGGCGATGGTTCTGTGGTCTGTTCTCCAGAAGGCGTTGGTTCTG